AAAACCCAGGTATGGTGGTGCCCCTCTGTGATTTCAGTACAGTCCAGGAGGAGATCCCAGGGGCTTGGTGGCTAGACTATCAAGCTGAAGCTGTGAGACTTGGGTCTGTGAGAGACCCTTTCCAAAAGGAAAGTGGAAAGTGACTAAAGAAGACACTTAACAGCAACCTCTTGCCTCCACAGACCATGTGAGCACACTTGTGCACACATAAGCACATTTGTGCACACACAAACACACTATACATGAACACATACAGATGGACATGTGCACAACTGTACTTACACACAAACATTTCTTCAACAGTTTCTTGTAAGGTGTTAACAACTTACATTAACAACTATGATAATTTTAAATGTTCCAGATCAGCTACTATCACACCTAAAAAGTTGCAGTGTTTCCACATTAGCTATATTTATATAGCTTTTTCCTTCTGTAATTTAATATCCATTTTCCTCCAATGGATCTTAAATTTCCAGAGCACTGTTTATATGAATTAGAAACACATTATCAAGAATGATACCTATGAGCTTTTCTTGTATATAATGTAAAGTATAACATTAGAAACAGCCACCATAAGCATAACTTTATGTAAGGATGACAGTTCAGTTCTTCCTCTCATGTTACCTGCTGAGAAGTTAGACTCTATATTAATAAATCTGCAGTGCTAAATAAAAAAATGCTGAATACCCTCACATTCAGTACAGTCTACATGTGTTACACTTAAATCAACATTATTCTATTATTTTCACAATCTAACATTTTTCCTTGGTACTCTGCACTTCTCTGTTAAAGACATGTTTCGATGTCTATTTATCACATACTCAAACAATCTAAACAAAAATAAAAAGAAATGTCAAAATTAATTCATTAGCTTGTTTTTAATTATACTTTAAAATTCTATAAAATTGCCCCTCTCATATTGTGGTGCAACTGACAACTGCTAAAAAATAAAAGTTTAAACTCAGGGAAACATGCTTATCATAAAAAATGAGGCAAACTTTCACACTGAATACAGCTATCTTAATGTAGATAAGCTCATTCCTTGAAATAGTAGTTAATATTTCCAAGAGATTAGGAGATTTTACTCATAAGGCCAAAGTAAATAGGTGTTAGAAGTGGAAAAAAAAAAACCTATCAGGATAACAAATTCAAGTTAACAAATGCTACTTAATATCATATTTTACTGCTAACATTTTACAAATTCTAAACTTTTTAAAACTTTAACTTTTAAAATAAAAAAAGGTCATATCACCTCTTTTTAAAAAAATCTTCCTGCATCAGTTACTGGATAAAGGCTCTGTGATGACAGTTAGGGTGTTCACCCATCTGACTACTGATGTAGGCCAGCTCAAGCACCCTTTCCACTATTGCTAATAGTTTAAGCTGGGGTCATCCTTATAGATTCCTGGGAACTTCCTTAGAACTCCCTATGCCCATGATGTCTCCCTCTATCAAGATAACTCTTTCATTGCTCTCCTAGAGCCTTCATCCAGTAACTGATGGAAGCAGATAAAGAGATCCACAGCCAAGCAACAGGCCAAACTCCAGGAGTCCAGTCGAAGACAGCGAAGAGGGATTCTATGAGCAATGAGTATCAGGATCATGACAGGGAAACCCACAGAGACAACTGAACCAAGCTAGTGGGAACTCATGAACTTTAGACCAACAGCTGTGGAGCCTGCATGGGACTGGACTAGGCCCTCTGCATAAAAAAAAGACAGTTCTGTAGCTTGGTGTGTTTAAAGGTCCCCCAGGCAGTAGGATCATGATCCATCTCTGGTGCATGAGCTGGCTTTTTGGAGCCCATTACCTATGGTGGGACACCTTGCAGTCTTGATGAAGGGGGAAGGTCTTGGACCTTCCTCTATTGAATGTATCAGCCTTTGCTGAGTCCCTATGGGAAGCCTTACCTTTTCCAAGGAGGAAATGTGGGGTGGCTTGAGGGGGGAAGGCTGGTGGGGGAGTAGGAGGAGAAATGAGAGAGGGATCTGTGATTGGTATGTAAAATGAATTAAAAAAAAAACTCTTAATAAAGAAAACATAAAAACAATCTTTAAAAAAATAAAAATCTTTAAATTCAAAATTGAAATCTCAATTCCCCAGACAATTTTATGAGAAAATAAATGATGTCATTATACCTAAAGATGTGGACCTGTTAAAATGACAAATATAAAAAAAACCTATTTATTACCATTTATTTGTAAAAATGATTTGTTTGTCAAATGTTTAAAGTAATGGACAAGCCTGGAAATATGTAAAACAAAAAAGTCTAAAAGCTCTTGATAGCGTTCTCTAGGTATCATGTTCCTGTTTTAAAAATATCACTAAAATATGTGGATCTTATTTTGAAATGGTGATTCTTAAAATGTGCTGGGAAAGTGCTATCTAGATTGTACTAGAAGGATCTAAGATCAGCATTGAAATTCTATTTGACCAAAATAGCTACGTCTCTATACCAAATCAAAATCTGTTTTGTTTCAAGCTAAGTGAAGAGCGTATTGAGGAAATCTAGTCATAAATGGACCATATCCTGGTCTTCCACAGAGCTTTGAATGTTTTCTCAGACATCCAAGTAGACAGAAGATGGCAGGTGAGTTCTGCAAACTCAAAATCTATTCCTAATCAAAGTCACAGTGGATATTCCCAAGATTACATTAGTAAACTGAATATTAAATTACTAAATTTGGGGAGTTTTCTTTGGCAGCTGCGTTCTCTCTGCTTGTGGTCTTTTTATTTACATTTCTTTACCATCTGTGGCTGTGAGGACCTAAAGATGGCTCTCTCCACCTGACTCTCATACTGTCAATACAATGGAACCCAGAGAAATGGGAATTTCCCCCAGGAAATGCATGCTATAAGAAGAAAAGTACATTCTTGAAAGAGGTTCCAAACAACTCCAACAACTTGTGAGACCACCTTGCAGAATGGGATTGAAGCCTGGACAATGATGGTTCAGTCCTAGGTGGGACCACACTTTAACTAGGACTGCTTGGATGGGCACAGTCTTGGGTCACTGTTGAAACTTGAATCTCACTTCAGGGCTGCAAAGATGGACGGTGGGAGGGGAAGCTTTGTCCCTTTTCCCGATGTGATCACACAGAATACATCTTCCTTTTCTCCCTTCCACTATTAGTTTAGCTCTTTAAATTGATTTAATAAGGACCTGTGTGGCCAAACGTGCTTAAGGCAAAGGCTGTGGCCTCCAAATTTGATAACAAAACAGTCAGTCGATTTTTGTAAGAATAAGCAGACTTTGGAAAATATGAAAACAAAGACAATGATGAAATGTAAACTACATTATTACTTGTTACCAAGTAATGAATCAAATCAAAAGTAAATTTATAGAGGAGAATACATTCATAGACCCTATGAGACCTTTTCCACTTATCTTTAGTAAAAATGTAATATGAAATAGGTTTCAGATTTCTCCGTAAAATTAAAGATGCAGGATATTATATATCAACGAACAACACAGAAAAAAGAGAATAAATATGTCTTTTAAAATCTCTAAGCATTATATTTGGCATCTTAAAGCAATGGTATTTTACCTAAAAAAAAAACTCCAGAGTTATGATTCAAATCATCAAGATATGTGTTAAAAGTCTGCTAACTTCAAAAATATGATTTTATCAAAATGATTTATAGTCATATTTATCACAAATATTCTATAGTCTATATTAAGGAAAAATTGTGCCTGCTAATTGGAATACATTCTTCAAATATAGAGTACCTTCCTATGAAAAAAATGTATAGCCCGCCCATAGGAATCTGATAAAATGATTTTGTTTGTACTTCAATTTTCTTTTGGTCTCATAAATTTTATAGTCAATGACTGAACAGAATCTGATGCCATAAAAATAATGACATGTTTCCAAGAATCTAGGATGAGCCAAAATTCTATTTGTTTAGTATTCCTACAAAAATAAAATAATGGTAACATGAGATATTTTAGTCCAGATTAAACACTCAAAAGTGGTCAATAATGGCAGAGGAGTTATTTGTAGATCAAATTAGGAAATAGATTTTCTTTGACATAAAAGGAACTTTTGCTTTCTGCTTGCCAAATGATGTTGTGAAAGTTTCAGGGGAAAAACGCTGAGTGATAAAAGTGCCCTGTTAAGTAATAAAAGAAAATTAATCCATATCATTGCAAAAGAGATGATATTGGGGAAAAGTCAAGATTGCCCAAACAGTACTTTTGTTGTTAAGAAGTTGATTAACCCTGCACTAAAGGGTAACCATAGCCTAAAATAAGTCTCCTTAGAGAGATAATAAACAATAAGAAAGAGACTCCACAGGTACTATGTCTCTTCACTCAAAGTTGAACAAATTCAGCATATCCTCGGCAATGAAAGGAACTGAGTTTGTGGTTCTGGAATAATAGAAAGCTCTGATGCAGTTCCTCCTCGCCTGTCTCCTTGGTCCCACTTGCTAGCCAGGGACTATTCCCAATGGAGCACCATAAGGGCTCCGCAAACAGTGAAGAAATACCCTTCCTTTCTCCGCCCGATCTCCACGGGAACCTTATCATTAGCGGTGTAAATTCTGATCAACTCACCCGAATCACTGCAGAAAAGGATGACGAAGTTTGCAAAGTGGCAGTCATAGAATACTTCGGGGAAAGGCGGGATGCAGCAGCCGCCCTGCCTGTGAATTGCCCAGCTCTGACATTTCAGTCAACTCTTACTGACAAAGCTCGCGAGAGCTGGCAGCAGCAACTTGATCTGGCGCTGGCCCGGCTTCCTTGGCTGACATCTGTTCAGAGGCTAATGGCATGAAGGCAGTGGTGACCACGCCTTCGGAGAGTGCTGGGGGGTCTTCCTCTACCAACACAGAGAGGCTTCCTGCAGAGAAGAAAGAGCAGGGAGGCGCCTGGGTAATAGAAACTGAGCGAGTTACTTGACACCAGCAGGACTTTAAAGTTTTGTGTTTTGCTTTGTTTTCTTTTGCCCATTTCAGAGTTTTACAGCAGTAAACATTGGACACACTATTCTATAGAAATGTCACTGAAAGCGGGTGTACCTTTCATCTCTGAAAAATCATGTGGTGATAAAGCCGCATAAAAAAAGAAAATAGGAAATAAAATAAGCAATCTAGATATAAACTATGAAAATCAAAGGATTGTTTACCCCTGACGATCCCGCCTTGTACCCTGCCCCTCAACATTTGTTTAAGCCCTACAGAATTCGCAGTTCCTGACAACTTCTCCAAAGTCCCTGTTCGTAATATATGTGAGGGAAAGCCACGGTTTATAATACATTTGAAGAGTCCAAAGTTCTTCAGCAAACAGTTAAAAGAACATCTCCAGTCAGGTACTGAGAGCATAGTGAACATATATTTTTATGTTTCAAGCTTATCATACTTTACACTTGTATTTTGCAAAACAATAAGAAAAAAAAACTTCAAGGAACACTTTAATGGCTGATTCTCCATACAGTTGCACTTTTAAGTTTTTGTAAATGTCAGTTTTCAATTTTAAATCTCTCAGCTAAGGGCTCACTACAGATTAAACAGAGTAACTGGGTCTGTAGAAAAGCACACTTTTGTCATTAACAGTTGTTAACATTTCAAACATGTACATACAAGAACTAGTACTTTGATTCTGGACAATTTCTGTGTGACTCAGATTTACATATAATATATTAACCTAATGAGCATGAGTTTAACATGATTATTCAAATTTTCAGGCCATGAAATTTGATCTTTAAAATCTCAAAATCTTGCTATGTTGCTAGTTCTAAGAACTTTTGGAGTTAAAATTTCAAATAAAATATTTTCAATATCATTTCATATCAAATGCTTCCCAAATAACAAACATTTTTAGTAGCTGAAATTATCTTTTCTCTGGACGGTGTCACTTAGGCAATATTGATTACATGCCAAACATTACAATCACCAGTTCAAAATGTATAATAATAACATATGACTTTGGTAACCACGGGACAAACTCTTAAAAAGAAGTACATAATTCCTTTCTATAAACACTGTTATATATATATATATATATATATATATATATATATATATATATTTCTAAATACGTAAGTACAGTCTGCTTAGTCTGTATAATGTTACTTGTTTGTATATTTTCAGGGTTGACCATTTGATAGTGTTGTATAAACAACTGATGTGTTCTTCCTGAGACAGATATTTCTCCCATTCTCAGCAATTCTTAGTTCTCCTTGCTTCCTTGTGTAGTGTTGAAGCCTCATGGACTTTCCTTCTTCCACTTTAGCACATCTATTGCTGTTCTTGTTCGGATCTTATTTAGGCAGTCATGTTGGTGAGGTTTTATGGGAGTAGCTTCTGATATCACTAGGAGATGCAGTCTCACAGCTAACTCCCTCATCCTCTGACTCTTACAATCTTCCCACTCTCTCTTCTGTAACGATCCCTGAGCCTTGGGTTTAGAGTGTTTTGTAGTCACATCCTTTGGAAATGGGCTCTACAAATCAACCTCTTGATTGGTTTTGGTTATGAATTTGAAAAAGAAAAAGGAGGGCTATGTGGGTGGATTGGAAGGATGAAAGGGAAGAGAGAATGAGGTAATTTTATCTCTAACAATAAGAAAAAAAATTTAAAGTATACGATCAATTTACAATGTTTTGAAAGTTATGGTAGCTGTATTTAAAACAGTCCTTTGGTTAGCCCACTGAACTATCCACTAGTTTAGAACGTATCATTTCTTAAGATTTCATTTATTTTTATTTGATGTATGTGTATGAATGTTTTGCCTACATAAGTATGCGTGTATGTTGTCCTCTCAGGCCAGAAGTTGTTGAATTCCCTCAAACTTTAGTTACAACTTGTTACAGGAATCGCAGGGGTACTGAGAAACAAGTCTGGGTCCTCTAAAAGAGCCACAAGTGTTACTAACTGCTGAACCATCTCTTTAGCCTCAGAATGTATTTTTTTTTTTAAAAACCCAAATGTCAATACTTCTTCCAACACAGCTCTACTGCACTGTTTTCTGTAGTAGCATAAAGTTAAAATTAAGCTCAAGCCCTGATCTTACTGAGTGAATTTATCTTATAGTTTTTGCATCCTGTCATGTCTACTCCATATTGTATGTTTTATACAATGTAAATATTTTTATACAATATATATACTCCAGATATTTTTTCAAAACAGTTGTGAAAATAAGAAAATCACTTACTAGAAGAATGTAATGTATATTTAAACTAGCAAGCTAATTTGGTGATTATGAAACTGCTCTTTTTTCTTCTGTTAAGCATTTTTTCTTCAGTGAAACACTTGGGCTCCAGAACCACTGGTTCATCTGTGTCTTGGTTTCTCAGCTATGCTACTTGGCTGTGCATTACCTTAGTTCACCCCTAAAGCATTTGTTCTTCCTGTGTTATTGATCTTTGTTTCGTGCCTTGACACACAACAGGTGCTTTGCTGCTGTGCTGTTATCTTTTTTTTCTCATGCTTCTAGTGAGATGATATCAATCATGTGTCATGGGCTTGTTGAGTCAGTTGGCCAAGTTTCATGCTGTGACCTCATAGCCTTGTGATTTGTCAGTACGACTGCCAAGTATTTTGTGCTAGTTATAAGTGGTTCTGGTGGAGCACCCCCCGGAACTCTTGACTTCTCATTATTAATGCTTAGGCTAGTCCTGTCAGCTGCCCTCAGTGAACACATTGAGGTAGGCAGTCATAGCTCCTTTCAGGTTTAAGGTATTATCATCATTCATTTACTGCTGGGTTCATTGTTTCCTTAGCAGTAGCACGGAAAACTTGACAGTGTGTGAATCATTTCATTGATTAGGCAATGTCATGTACAAAAGTATTTTGATCTTTACCTTTTATTGATATATTTGGTTGTTCTGTATTTTTAATTACATTACAAGGAATTAGGTCTCTCCATAGCATTTTATGAACTTTTTTTTTGTTTTTTTCTCTCTCTCCCTTTTTTCTTATCCTTCCTTTATCTCTTAGCACCAATAGCCTCATTTCTGCCTTCATGTTATGTGTGACATTTTACCTTCTCACCTTCTATTTCTTTTTAACAAGAATAATATATTTTATAATCAAATATTCATTACTAAGAAAAATCTTAAAGATTTTTGTATTTCACATACGACAGTGCAAGAAAATATGACCTTCATACTACATAGTTGCATAAGAGTGGTCAAATAGTTTATGGTAAATATTCCCACTTCTTATTCATTTAACAATATTAACTATCTATTGAAATATTTCAATGATTAAATGGTACATTATCTCATGGATGTGCTTAATTATTTTTACCTCTGTAATGATGATAGCAATATGAAGGAATAAGTAGTATTTCTGGGCCAGGATGGAGCTCAGTAATAGAACCCTCACAGGGCATGAATAAGGCTCTGGGTTTGAGCTTCAACAATGCAAGTCATAAAGGAAAATAAGTTTTATTTTCAAATATTTTTCTACATGCCCTGAATATCCTAATTAATTTAAAACTCATGATAATAAGGAAATAAGAAAGTAACAATTATCTTTAACTAAGAACTGCCATTAATCTTATTCTCTAGTTGAGTTAAGTATGCCACAAAGGGTTTATACGACCTGCCTGATATCACAAAATATCAATGTTGTTTTCTAATATGCAAGGTGCCAATAGCTACAATAGAAAATTCTGTATATGGATATTTCACTATATTCAGTATATATGTTTGTTTCTTATCTTATTGTGTTTTATTGGCTAATTTTGTTATTTGACAATTTATTACATATATTTATCATGTATTCTGGGTAGTCTCCCTGCCCTGCCCCTTTATAATACCCACACTCCCATACCTGTCAAGTTCTTCTCTCTCTCTCTCTCTCTCTCTCTCTCTCTCTCTCTCTCTCTCTCTCTCTCTCTCACACACACACACACACACACACACACACACACAC